AATTAATCTCTTTGTGATTCAACCCTGGTCTTGTTGTGTTATTTATTACTTTGGCACTCCTGCACTTGGTTGAAGACATCAGTCTTTTGGTCCTGTCATGAGCCAATAAAATTCACATTGTAAGATTTTTGTAGTCGTCTTTTTTGACAAGAAATGACTCCTACATGCCTCAGAATGATAAAATTTAATAACATTACTTACCTCATTGTCGGGAATGTATCTTTAAAATATTTGATCAAGATAATATTTGAATAAGTAAGGGTCATCCCAATAAAAGTTTTGCATGTTGTTCAAAAGCTTTCTTTTGTTTTCGATACTCTAGTGAGTTGGCAAAAATTCTAAAGTAAGAAAATTGATATTTTTAGCAAGCTAAGGCATTGAATTAAGGGAAAGTAAGGATTTGTGAGGAAAGTAATCATTGATTGGTGTGATGTCAGATGTTAAATTTGTTGCCACTCTTGACAAAAGATCTGTATCAATATTTTCGGTGCCTTTTTCATCTATGATTTCTTCTTGAGAATAAATCTTTTAGAAATCTTCAGATTCATCCAACCCAATTTTACTCAAAGTATATTCAAATTGATCATAAACTAATTCTTCAATAAAATCTACTTCTTGTATTAAGCAAGATGAAGGTATTTCGAGCTGTATTATCTTAGTTATAACTGCCAGAAAGATGATATTTAAGGGATGTGAAGCCTACCTTGCCCATGTTATAGGGGCAAAGAAAGATGATATCTAGTTGTAGAACATTCCTATAGTGAGGGAGTTTCCAAATGTATTTTTAAATGAGCTACCAGGAATACCATTAGAGAGAGAAGTAGATGTTACTTGGTACGTCGCTAGTAGCCCAGTCACCATATAGAATGGCGCATATCGAATTGACAAAGTTGAAGATTCAATTACAAGAGTTACTGGATAAAGGTTTCATATGTTGTAGTAACTCACCTTAGAGGGGTCTAGTATTGTTTGTGAAGAAGAAAAATGGAACTCTTAGACTCTATATAGGTTATAGACAATTGAATAAAGTAATAATAAAAAATAAATATTTGTTACCCCAAATAGTTGATATGTTCGATTAACTTAAAAGAGCAATGGTGTTTTCAAAGATAGACCTAAGAACAAGATATTATCAAGATTGTGTGTTTTAGGTTATTATAAGATGTTATCAAAATTAAATCTTTTCTTTTAAAAGAAAAAAAATCAATGGAATCATCTACTTTTAGGGATTAAAATTGCTTATTGGGATTAATATGAAATTTATTAATGAATCTCTTATTCCTAAACACTAAATTATTGTTTTTAAAATAAATTACAAATAAGTTTAGAAATATATTTATACAATTAATAATATACATAAAATTAATTTAGGAAAAAACACATCTTTCCTTGAGCAAAATTAAACAAAATTAATCTAGCATCTAAATTCTAAGACTAGCGTCAAATCTTGTATTTGTCATGATATAACAAGTATATTGACTTGCTAAAAGCGTTTAGGTTTGATAATATAGGCAAATAGATTCTCGTGATATCATAACTAAATAAATAGTTTTGATTTGTAGTTATAGTAGAGAAGGCATAAAAGAAAATAAAATTAACCATCATAATTCATCCATTACTTATTATTTGTCAATTGCATAGTGAAGTAGCATAATATTGATGCGTACAGATAATACATATATAGCAGTGGACAACATAAATATAGCAGCGCAATAAGATCATGGAGGTGTGATACACAATATATCAATCCTTTCAAGCACATATAGTTAAGGCACGGCTAGCAACAAATTGCAGCTAAATATCCATTAGAATGTTGATTGAGTCGTGATGACCAAAGGTTTGAAACCATGTTGGATACTTGCTTGCCAAACTTTGTCAATGTCAGACATGGTGTAACCGCATTCATGCTCATTCCATCCTTCGAGGGCATGCACTATTCCAGCCACACGCCATGCACTCATCACTCTCCTTGGCAACCAATTCTGCCATCATTCAAATGAATTATCTTTCTTGAAATAAAATTTAAAAAAATAATGCAAATAGTACTTTAAAGCTGAGCAATATTTGACTAATTAATTACCTCACAAGAGTCCACATTTTCAAGAGATGCAGGGGCTGCCATTGCTGGTATGCTGTGATAGAAGCAGTCCTCGCGCAATTTCTGCGGGGGAAATTGCGAGAAGGGAATGAATAATGTTCCTTCTGTTGCCTTCTTTTGGTTTTCTCCCTTCAATCCATCCCCAACTAACCACGTCTGCCCAAAGTTTATTATGAAATTAGAAATGCCAGTCACTATGTAGGTGTGTGTGTGTGTGTGTGTCTGCTACTTGAATTTAAGTTTAAGTTGTATTTTTTTTTTTTGACAAAAAACTGATTTCTAATTCCTTGGAAGCAAAAGAAAGCATAGGTATACCTTTATTGAATAGTTCTTGGAAAGAATCAGATTGTTCTGATCAGATCTGATGCCGAAGGATTTTTTAAGCTTCTTGTAATCATCCTCGTATGGAACAGCCACCTAAAAAAAACACAACCACAGATTAAATAAATTAAATTTGCCTGCTTATACAATCAATTTAACTAAATTACAGTCAAATTGAAGCGACAACCTGTGTCTACTGGCCTAGTAGACAACAACAACAGTACCTGTATTCCCCTCCTACAGAGATTTAAAACAACAGCGTAGGCAACCTTAGAGAGATTGCCTATATGAAGCACCTGTGTTGTTCCTTCAGGGATGCTGTTCAGCACAGCAGCAACGGCTAGACTGCTTCCATCCACCACCTTCGTTTTGAGCCTCGGATACCTTTGCACATAAAGTTCACCATACCTGTTAAGCTCCTCTCCCTGCAAATTAAATTTATTTCTGAACATGATGAAAATATAATATATAAACAATAAACTAGACTCCAGTACTGGCCCTTCTTAAGTAACCACCGCTATAAATATAAATATATTTTTTGTCGCCTAGAATGCATTATATTTTAACCGGCAAGTACTTGCCTGATTTAAGAGACCGAGACTTAAAACTTTAACACCTTTTTCCTCAGCTTTTAGTACAGCTTCTTCAATCAAGGTGTTTATGGATGCTCTGTGCCGTCGCAAGTTGTACTGCCAAAGAGTAGATGCGAAAATTAATGAGACCAGATTAAACTGAACGCACTTGATTAATCAATTACAGAGTTACATCCTTCTTAATTACTTGAATGTTGTATTTTGGTATTATCCACGTCTGTAATCTGAGTTTGTGAAAGCGATTCCTCTCAGCAACAAAAGCGCGTCCATAAATCCAAGTTAACATCATGGTCCACAGTGTCACCGGCCACAGTAACGAGAGATACCATTTCGATTTCTGAGGGTTGGAAGCCAAGTAGGCAAGTCCTAGCCGTGAGTGGTAGATGGAATCTGGTGTGGTAAGATGAGTTAGGTGCACCACATCAGGGGCTTCCTCGGGTCTCTTGAGCGAATCTTCATAGAGGGTATCAGAAGACGTGTCCATTGTGCCATAGATGTAATCATAGATGGGCATGAAAAGTGAGTAATTGGTTCTGAATTGAGTGTGGTGAAGAGAGTGGAACCTGCAGCCATATTAAATCCTAAATAATTAACAGTATATTTTCCATAGACGACAGTATATTCTTCTCTCTCTTTTCTTGTTTTTGTAGGATTAGATGAATCATTTCCCTACTATCTTTCATAAAAATCACAACTTTTGTTCACAAGTCTGAAAGAAATCCCATTAACAAAAAGAAAAGTAGGCTGGTGAGAATTAATAATTGAAATTGCAAGAAATCGAGACTTACGATGGGGTGTACATGAGGTACTTGAGAGGGGGGAAAATGGTGAAGAGCCATTTGGGAACGAGTTCAAAGTTGCAGTGACCCATATTGTTCATCACGTCAATGTAAGTGATATAACCAGCTAAGGATGCTACAGAGGCTGTCCCCGTCATAATAGTCGTTATCAATGGTATTGCAAATAGCATGAAGTAGGATATGTGCTCGGCGAATGGATGAATCACAGCTGCGATGCACATGTCAAGAAAGAAGAAACTGTTGTTGTTTACATAAATTATTTAAAATATATTTTTATGAACTAGTGAGATATATGTTATATCAAGATATGTTTATATTAAGATCATGAGGTCTAATCATGTTGGATCACTCTTACACGTAATGGGCTCTGTGACAATGGAGGAATGGTGATGGGAATGATAGCGAGAGTAGAGATAGTGGTGATGAAGAAGTCGATGAAGCCAATAATACAGAAATTCCACCGGACCCATATGAATCAGAGCTGTTATAATTACACCATCCAACCTCCACAAGGGGAGATGGCTAGCTCCTGGAATTGTTTTGATACCAACGTAGAATAAAATTCCATTGAACAATATTTGGTCATCCCTGCAGATATCCAACCATAAAATCCTCAAGTATCAGAAAATTCACAAGCACTGGAGTGGAAATTAATGCATGAAATTATTTAACACACATACACACGCACACAAATACCAGTTGCTTTCTCTATCAACTTGGTCAAATTCAATGGCTTTGTCAACAATCCTGTTATTTCCCTTGGCTGTTCTATAACGGGACAGACTGATCCATAACTGGTTGTGAAGCATTCTCCACAACAGAAGTGGGAATGCGAGAAAGGTTGAGAGATCTTTTTCATCTTGAATCATGAAGGAGTAGGTGCTGTGAATGACCCAAGGAGCCAATATTAAATGCTGCAATATCGAACACCACCAACAAAACAAAGATATGTAGTTAATATTATTGTTTTTGTTTATGATATGTTAACGTTGTTTGAACGAAAACGAGTTACTCTACGTATGTTATCAGATATTAACGAGAAGGAAAAGGAGCGAGAGAGGGAGATAAGAGAGGGATTTCCATATGACCTTAAAGCTTCCAAGAGGTTTCCATGGCCAGTCTGTGAGAATTCCAGGCCGAGAAGCCATCACTTCACTGCTACTGCTTATCTTTGTTTCCTTACTTGTTGGGAGGTCGTGCCCGTGTATATATAGACGAGTAATATTTTCTTTAGCGTTATAATTATTTATGAGTAACATTTTGTTTTTTCAATGACAGTATCGCCGCTCAGTCAAGTTAGAGCTGGGTAAATTATAAATTAATCGTTTTAATTTTGATAAAAAAAGAAAGAAATAATTAGTCCCCTCCCTGAAAAAAAAGTAATTATATAGTTTTTTATCTATTTTTTGTTCTTTTCTATTTTTTTTAATAAAAGAGGGAAAAACAAAGTTACATGCTATGGAAAGATTGATGATTGATGAGAAAAGTAGGTATTATTTAAAATAAATTAATATAAAATTAAGCATGATTAACAATGATAAGTGATTAAATAATTAATTTATAAAACAAGAGAGATTAATTAAATTTTTTCTTGAAATAATAGGAAATAATTTATGATGTACCTTGTCCAACAACCGCCTTAATAAGATGATGCCATCTAGCAAAAAGACTTTATTGGAGTGCACACCTGTACAATTAGGTTTTGCCCTTTGTCAACCCTGTTCGTAAAACCACGCATGATTCAATTTTTAAGCTCACTGGTACGCTTGCCCAATTGCAAGCCTGTGGATTTTATTTTTTCAACTTCAATCACAACTTCAACATAATTGTGTGTAATATGTTGTTATCATTTTTTTTATTAAGTATAAAATTAAAATATGTGGGCTTTTTTTAATGTAAATTCAATCACTTTTATCTTTTTATAAATCATTATGAATTAAAAAAATAATTTTTTTATTTTTAATTTTATTCTCAAATTTCTTTTTTTTAATAATTAAACCTTTATTTAGCTTTCAATTAACACCTAATTACATGTTTTTTTTTTCCAAAAAGAAAATTGAATTAAAAGTCAAAAGATTGAAATGAGAAATACAAGTAAATAGTGGCTTTTAAATTTGTTTGAAAAGTACATTTAAGTCCCTCACCTTTTTTAGCTATTAGGTGACCAATTCATCTAATTTATTTTCATCATTTTCAGTTTTATTTAGATGGGAGGAAAAAGAAGAGATCATTGACACGACTAAAAGATTAAAGTCTTATTCCAAATACAGAGGAGGAAAAAGAAGAGATCATTGACACGACCAAAAGATTAAAGTCTTATTCCAAAAGTATCAAACATTAAAGTCCATATTAAGTTTACATTATACTTATTCTTACACCATTAGTGTAACCTTTTCACCTTGACATAATTAACTTAGCTAGACATAATGAAAGAAAGCAAAATAGATAAACAAAATAAGAACATAAAAGTTAACTAAGTAAAGGAAAGGAAATGAAAGGCATAAACTTAATATTAATGAAAACAAAGCATAAAAAATACAAAGAGAGAAAGGAAGAGCATGATCTTGATCTGGAAATCAAGATGCCTAAATGCATGGCAAATGCCTCCTTTTATAGGCCAAAAATGGGAACTATTGATTTGATGACTAATTGATAAGTGGGTGACCAACTTTTGACTTGGTGACAATCCTTATCTTCTCTTGTCTGCCCAAAACGTCATTGATAACGTCAAAATTGGAGCCAGTTGTAAACATGAAAGTTGTAGGCAATTGTCTCAGCTTTCTTGTGTAAAAATTTCAGCTCATTTGGACTTCTAGAACTCCAGATATGGCCAAAATACCGAATAGTGCTCGGGCTGGAAGACAGATTCGGGCTTCTTTGTTGTTGCTACAATTTGGACTTGATAATGGCCTTTTTAGATCTTGGGCTCCATATGAAAGTTGTAGGCCTATGTCTTACCTTTCCATCCATATAAATTGGACCTAAATCTGAGATCTGTAGCTCCAGATATGACCCAATTACCGAACAGTGTTCCGGTTTGGATTGCACCGACATCTCTTTTCTAAGTTTGGCCATCTCTTTATCCTTGCAATTTAAGTTCTTCAAGTCATCAATCAATCCTTTCATTTATGTGATAGGCCTGCATTAAAAATAGACATTTACCACAAATTATAGGTATCTTATATTATTAGATACATTATTATAAAACATATTTTAGTTAAGGAGTTATTGATACTTCAAGTGCAAAATGATGATATAAAACCATGATAAAAATGCACTTTTAAGTACTAATCACACCCCTCAACCAGCTTATTACTAGTCCCTAGTAATTAAAGCGTTAAAACAATTTGCAAATTTCACAAAGCAAGGTATTCATCATTTAACTTCCATTAGTCTATCCAGATAAACAAACTCTCATTAAATTTATATATCTGCTCAATACCTCTTAACAAGATATTAATAAACCTTTCTTTTGTGCTCAATGTATCAACACATAATTATGGGGCTTTTCTTGGAAGAAAATAAAATTTTTGTTCTAATGTTTAATGTTAACTTCCTTGGGATGAGATTTTTTTGTCTTCTTTCTTTTGCTTTTTTTACTCTATATACATATACTTTAAAAACATCATGCATCTTTAACCCATGTAACGAGCTTTCAGCTAATGACTCCCAGACCAGTTGGTCTTAGGGCATTAGGTGTTAAGACACCCCTACGAGCTTAGTAACTCGGGTCGCAGATACTGATACATAGATAGTGCAATGTTTGATTCCTTTAAGCTTTTCTCCTCAACCCATATAACAAGTATTGGGCCAATAGCTCTTAAGTCAGTTAACTTTAGGGTATTAGGTGTTAAAACACTCCTTCAGGCTTAATTACTTAAGTTAGGAAGGCTACAAAACCAAACTGATCTACATCATTTTTTTCTCTCTTTTTTTTTTTTTTTCAAATTATATACTATCCATTTCCCTTAGTATTTACCTTTAATAAAAGAATATAAATAATGTAGTAATCCAATGTGCAACCCACATTCATATATTAAAATAATGTTAAAGTGTGTGTGTGTAAATTAAGGTTTAAGAATATATGTTAAATAAGTATATGAGCAGAATTAAGTGATAACAAAGCGAGAGTTTGTAAACCTGAATATTTCAGGAAGTATTATAATAGACCTTGTTAAGAATGGTTACTAAGATGCGTCTCAAGAGTCACTTTAACAAAAGAGCTCATTTACTTTGTTATCTTAGTAACAACAATTTTGCACATGCTTTGTGAAATAGAAAACATAGTTAGTTAAATTATTTTTTTTCAACTACTACCCTTTCCCCCCAACCAAAACGAGATATTGTCCTCAATGTCCTAATGTAGAACATAGAATATAAAAGACATCACTTGAAATAATGAATACTAACAAACATGAAACATACCTAAACAAATATAACAACAATAAACATAATAATAAAATCAAAAGACACAAATATTCACAAATAAAGACTCAAATCCAATCTAAACTTGTTACGGCTTTTCTTAGATGACCAATTTATGTTACTCATGGAGGGATCAATTACAGGAATGAAGGATTGTAGTTGGTCAATCAATTATTTAGTAGTAGCAGCAGATATTATGATTTATCGTGTCGAAGATGTTAGAAATTCCTGTTCCACAACATGATCAAGAAATGACAACAACTTATCATAATAACCATTAACATTTAACAGACTTATGAGTTTATGATGAATGTGTAGTTGGGTCCAAGAGAAAATATGAAAGATCTCTTCCAATATGCCTAGACCACCTGGTAAGGCAATGAAGGCATCAACATGGTTAAACATTGCATTTATTCAAGTAGACATCATGGAGACCTGTAGTTCCTTTCAAATTATTTTTTCATTGATGTCCCCTTATGCTCAAGTTTTGGGGACGATCCCTATAAATTGACTACCTTCTAAAAATATAGCTATTGACACACCTCCCATTAACCAAGATTGCCTCCCCCATACACTAAATGAATCTTTCTCTTAGCTAGCACCTTACCAAGATGATTTGTTGATTCTAAAAACTCATTTTCTTTCTCAGGACTAAATCCACCAAAAACACAAACATTTCTTATGTGAGAACTTAAGGAACTTGTCATTTATACACACTTTTATATTTCTTGAATGTATAGGTTGAGTATAAATGAAAGGAAGAAAGAAAGGATTTTATAGATGAGAAACTAAAAAGGCAATCATACCACCTATATGTAAGTCAATTGGAGTCTCACACACACACATTCTCTCTTTCTATGTATTTATTTATTTTTGAAAAAGCATGTGTATATACAGGTAGTTGTGATTGTGGCTCACATCTTCCCTTGGTTTTACGTCCAAGAACGGCTTAAACGCCCTCTATGGGTCGGGGATACGCTTCCCATCCAGTTTTCTTAAAAACTGGCAAACAAGGTCTTTTTTAGTCAGATTCCCAAGACTAAGTACTATGCCAACATGTTCTTTATGAAAATAGGTTCATAAGTCATGAATTGCACTATACTTATCTCCACAATGATGAAACTTAAAACTCAATAGAAGATTATCTAAAGACTCCTTACTCAGGCCATCCTTAATGAATTGTATTTTATCTTCACGGTTTATAGATACCATTCCTAAAGAACGACATTGTGTATTACAAGTCCATCTAGCACATCGATGACAGACATCCAGTCGTTTTGCACGACGCTTCTTTGCAAAAGTGCTTTTACCTGTTCCAGGCATGTGTGAAATGAAGAAGTTAGAGGACTCACCTGATAATCGGACCTTTGCTTCAATCAACCAACGAATATCTTCAGATAATATTTGAATAAGTAAGGGTCATCCCAATAAAAATTTTGCACGTTGCTAAAAAACTTTCTTTTGTCTTGGTTATCCGAATGAGCTAGCAAAAATCCTAAAGTGAGAAAATTGATATTTTTAGTAGGCTAAGGCATTGAACTAAGAAAAAGTAAAGATTCAACAAGAAAGTAATCATCGATTGGTGTGATGTCAAATATTGAATATATAGCTAATTTTGACAAATGATTCGCGATAACATTTCCGGTGCCTTTTTCATCCTTGATTTCATCCTATTTAAAAGTTTTAAAGATTTCACAATCGTGATTAACTTCCCTTTGTTTGGTCATGGTATGAGGAATTGGAAGTACTGGTAGGGAATCAGTCTTTTCCTTGCAATATTCA